ATGTTATAATTAAGAGTAAATTGTTTTATGTCTTAGAAGGATAGAGAAAGAAAGAGGAGAAGATATAGGTCTCATATAATTCTGGTTCAAATTACAAGCTAAATTGCAATAAAGTCAACAAAACAATTTGGCCAACATCAATGGACAATTCACATTCACCTTTTCAAGCCCCCAAGCTCTAGAAAATCCCATTTCAAAACTGCTCTGATAAATTAGAGTTAGGGACTAAAACAGTCATCGCATCTCCAGAAGGCCTCACATTTTCCCATGGAGTAATTACTTAATTTTAATTTCACAGTTTTTACTTCTTAGTTTTGAAATTACTGTTAAAAATTTTGATGCTGTTTAACTTTGCCAAAACTATTTCTTAGATGAAAAAAAAGTCACAAATTTTAGTTAAAAGAAGTTTGTTTTACATTAAATATTGTTCATATAATAAGATGACAAAGGACTATTGTCTTTCAACTCTGTAGCTGCTTTCTGCTCGTTAAAAGCTCTGGCAGGATAGACCTGAAGACAACATTAGTCTTTGACATAGATAAGCACTAACATTGAACATCCTCAAGTGCATTGCATTTTTTCTTTATTGTAATAATTCAAGCTTCATTCTCAGATCACTAGAGGACATAAAACAAAGAATAAAATACATTTCCTTTAGAAGGATTGAATTTGCCCACTTCTCCTTCCTTGCTTTCTTTCTACCTTGCCTCATCTTTACTTCACATAATCATCATATAATCAAAGCACGTATGAGCTGCTACTACGAGCCAGGTATCCCACACATATAATAAAATCTCAATGACTGTGATTTTTCTAAAGGTGCCAAGGTGCTCAATAGCTTGCCAAGATCATAAAGTAAGCAGGAGTTAAACAGTAGTTGAAGATATGAATGGAATTAGTTTTCTTTAAAGGCAAGTGGATTTCTCTCCCTTTTAAGCAGTGCATTTTCATCTTAGAAACCATCTGACTAAAATTTTTACAATATGTTTAAACATGCATCTTTGAAACAATAAAGATTAAAAATGCCTTGGCTGAGGCCACTGCTCATTGGAACTTAGTTCTCTTAGTTAAACATGGTTTCTAAAAACAAATCATTCTTACAATCTTAGCTACTTGCTTAGTATATAACAGCCCTAAACCTAAGTGTAATAAAGGAATGACGTACACTTTGGACTCTTAGAAAAAAGATAGCATATGTAGAAAACATTCTCATCTAAAAACAGAACAATAACAACAACAAAGCTATATCATAAGACTCCCAAGTCAGGGAACTTGATGTTTCCTATGACTACATTTTTTTTTTTTTTTTACTTGTGAGCAATAGGCTTGTGCCTTTCCCATGATAGAGAATTGGAAAACTAACCCAATGCTTTCATCAGGGTCAAGCTTTATGAAATATTTTTCACAGAAACAAATCGAAACTATGTTTATGAAAAAAATAAAACATCAGTAAAGTGACTAGCCAACTCTTCCCTCCTTAAAATCAACAACCCTTCATTTTTGATAATTTATATAGTGGGAGTAATAACACATCCTTTTAACCTTGTTCTCAGAGGCAAAGTGAAATTTAACTTGCATCACATTTTCTTGGGAATTTGGCCATTTCAATAATTTCAGAAAAGTTTATTCCAAATACATCCTACTATATCCATCAAATGATGATTTCTTTGTTCTGATTTTTTTCAACCCCATTATTTTCCTACGCAAAATAATAATGTAGACAATAATCATTTTTAGCTGCTTATAAAAGTTTCTAAAAAATTTGAAGCAATCCAATCTCTCTTATTGTGAATACATCATTAAAAAAGGAATAGTCATCACCACTAAAATATAAGATTCACAAGAACAGGGGTTCGCTCATCCCTTCCTCTCGAGGGCCTAGAACAGAACTGACCCATAGTAGGCTCTCAGTATATTTGCTAGATGAGTGAACAAATTAAGCCAGTGGAGTTATCCTGTAGCCTTTTGAAAGTCTTTATACACACCTTTTATTCGGGTTTTAAATGGCTATAGAATAAATGTCAGCATTGAAGAAGCTATCTCACTCTTTGTTTTTTAGTTGTTATTATTGAATATGTTTTATGTTTTTCTGGGTTTCTGCATGTAGTTTATTCCATTCATAGAAGCTGGTGGCATTTTTTTTCCCTGCAAAATACTGCTAGAAAACATGTTCTGAGTAAACACAGGGCTTCTGAAAGACATACCTTACTATGCTATGGGATTTCTTCCATAAGGAAATACACCATGGCAGAATCATACTATAAGGATATTTTTTTCTTTTTTCTTTTCAATAAGAAAATATACCAAAAGAAAAGAGGAATGTGAATCAGCTGTTGTGTAAACTAAGTTCATTACCCTCTTGCCCAGCCACTGGGGCTTCAAACTTTCTGGAGACTTATCTTCTAAGTATATTGCTCTTGGAATTTCCAGACCAAATTTTTCTTAAAAGATGATAAATCATACTGTCTTTAAAGTGTTAGGCTTAAGATATATGCACCAAGATTATACTGAATATTTACACCATACCTCACTTGTAAATATTTTCCTTTGAAATTTTCTGAAGACTCTAAACAGCTGGATTACAAAATGCCAAAGGTAAAAGCAAAACTAAGACCCAGAGATTAAAGCTGTATTTTGGTACTTGAAAGATAAGGTTTTGTTGTAAAATTTTACTTGTTTTGCTTTTGATAACTGCATACTTTACGATTTAGTAATGTTAAAATCTGTTATCTGTGCTAAGTCAAGAGTGGAGAGATTGTCCAGGTTTTCTTAATATCTAAGATTTTACAAAAGCAAATCATAGAATATAAGAAAGACATCATTTTGTTCAAAATTTTATTTTGTAGAAGGAGGGCCATGAAGCTCAGAAAGATTTATAAAATTGATTTGTCTAAGATTGCAAAGTGTTGGAGCCCTGACTGAAAGAAAAGAAAAAGAAAGAAAGAAAGAGAGAGAAAGAAAGAAAGAAAGAAAGAAAGAAAGAAAGAAGGAAGGAAGAGAGAAAGAGTCTCCTAACTTCAAAGCTACTTCTCTTTCTTCCTGTTCTGCTTCCTTTGCTCCTCATTAGGTGGCACTGTCTCTCATATTTGGAATTGCAGAGATTAAAAGCTGAAAATGCTAAACTCTCAGAGACGCCATTCGCATGAATTAAACAAATAAGGTAGGTGAAGGAAGCCTGCATCCCACTCACCCAAATCAGAACACTGGACAACTCGAAGATGGCATTGGCAGCGGAAGGGACACACTGGTCCCAGGGGCTCTAATTCGGGAAGTTCAGGAGCGTGCTCTTCCGGGCCTATCCCAGAAGCCTCATCTTCTAGCATAAAGTCAAATAAGCCTCTCTGTTGAAACGGTCCGGCCCAGGAAACTTGTGCAAGCAGGAGGAAGATGATAGTGGCCTTCATGATTTATCTCATGTATTTTCACAACCAGGGTACCTGGGAAACAAATGAAAGGTTTAAGAAAAGTAGCATTGCCTAGTCTGCATGTTATTATTTGTATAATGCCCCACAGTGGGCATTTGGGTGAACACAGAGAAAAGAGCAAAAAATAATATTTAATTTCTTAGTAAGAAGCAGAGCATTAAAAATGTATTTGCAACAGTGATAAGGTACATTAAGCAACATTTGCACAACTATTTACTTACCAAGAGAAATTTGAATAATTATTTAAATCTGCTTATTTGAAGTTTGGGTCTGAATTGAGATAATATACTGTATATTCAAATCATTTGCAAAATTGTCGTGATAATAAATCATATGGACTTTTGAATGCTGACTTAACACATGCCATACTGTGGTCAAATAAAATGTTGCCTATACATGAGAGATCTCCAATTTTGCATCTTATCTCAGGAGGCTAATCTCGTCTCTCCATGCTACTACATTTATCTTGGTCCAGGCCCTTCTCACCACTCCCTGAACTATTGCAAGAGCTTCTAACCCATTTCTGCCTTGAATATTTCCTCTACTCCAGGCCATCTTCCACTTTGCTGCCTGAGTCATCTTTTTAAAATTAAATTTCATCTTATTAATTTCTACTGCAAACCACTTGTTGACTTTCCACGGCTTGCCAATGATGGCCACATCCTCTGTGCTGTATGTAAGACCATTCTTAATTTGGTGCCAACTGATAGTTCTAGCCACATTTTTCTCCATTTTCCCTCCGCTGCCAGTCCTCACCTCAACACGGACACTCCAAGCTACTTGCCATTTAGATTACCTACCTCGTAAGAGCGTTGTAAAGATGGAACGAGATAATAGGCTTCCCTTCTGTGTTCCCTGGCTCATCCAGGCAGGATGTTGCTTCCTTCCTCTTCTCTGCTCCCAAACCACGTTGCTCTTACCTCTTTTAAAGAACTTATCACATAATATTGCAATTTGTTTTGCGTGCTTGGTCTGTCCCCCCCACTAGACGATGTGCTCCTTCAGGGCGTGTCCTATTATTCCTTGTTCTGTACCCGGGCCTTGCACAATATTTTGCACACAAATGACTCAATTGACCATCATTTTATTAACAATATAATTTATTCAATTTGTTCCAAGCAACCAATCTGTCTGATTTTTTAGAAATCAAAATTATCTTTTTTTTTCAATATCAAATTTCTGGTATAAGAAAGTTATCAAATTGAAAACGTCTACTTGTATAGTAAGATTCACTTTTAGAAATAAATCTATTGTCTAGTTTCCCCAACTGATTATTTTCCATAAGCTAGTAAACACATATAGAAATCCCTAACTGGTTTTTATTTGATTTATGTTATCTGGTTTTACCAACAGGACATTTTGTAAAACAAACAAACAAACAAACAAAAAGTACAGCTTTGACAAATCTATACAATATTTATCCATTCATTCAACAAGCACTTATAGATGTATGCATCTATGTTGTTAAATTGACTAAAGTGAACTACATAAATCTGAATAAAAAATGCATACATGATTGTATAGAAAAAGAGCAACCAATTTTTAAGATACCATATTTTAAAATTCCATTGACACTATTCTAAGTATTCTCAAAATATATCATAGCTATTACCATTAGTCTTATTTCCTCTACCTCGTATTGTACACTTCTAAGAATCCATATTCAAGCCGTATGTTCATAAGTAGCATTAAAGGGTTGTTTTGAGTCATTATCCAATTGTAACACAAGCAAAAAACAAAAACAGAAAACAGAAAGAAAAGAAATTTTTGTATGCCTTAATGTATATTCTGGAAATCTAAGCAAAAGCCTAGATTTACTAGAGAGGAAATAAATAATTTGCAATTTCTCAGGCTCTTGTTCTTAGTTTGTATTTACTACTGAAGTATATCTAAGGTAGCACACATACAATACAGGCTTGTGCATTTTCATTTTTAAAAAGGACCATAAAGATTATTATTGACACTGTCACTTTAAGTTCAGTATCCAGTTTTCTCTAGGAGCCCCCTCCCACTCAGTTACTGAGTTTCCCTTTAAGAGGAGACTCTATTCTTTTGGCAGCCTGTTCACTTGGATTGTAGCTAAGGGAGTGGTTTTCTATCTGTTTCACATTAAAATGCAATGTTTATGGTTTACCACAAGCTTGCTAGCCTTGCATATTTAATGTCTTACAATTTTAGAAGGAAAACAAAGCAAAGTAATTGCAGATTTAATAAATAGCAAGGAGAGTTAATGCAGATGTCTCTTTGTAATCTTTCCTCCAGAGGAGAAAATGTCTGGTTGTTTCACTAACAACCCAAAAGAGGAAATGTTGAGCATTAGCTCAGAGGAATAGTATCATCATTTATATTTGTTTACTCTTGTTAAAATGGTGCAAATTCTCCACGTGATATTCTCTTTGATTGGAGCTGAATACAAATAGGCAGCTTATAGCTTCAATTACTTATTTTTATTTCACTTTCATTTGCTTGTGTGTGTGTGTGTGTGTGTGTGTGTGTGCGTGTGTGTGTGTGTGTGTGTGCATTTTAACCCTGAATGCCCCAGGAAAGAATATCAGCACGTCCAAAAATTTTATGTAAATGCATCCGTGAAAAAGTTCTTTTAAATTAGTGTCATGATACTTAAAGACCCAGCATCTTAAAGATCTAGCATCTTAAAGACCCAGAATCTTAAAACAATTAATATGAGCTGTTGATACAGATAATTTCCTTAATCATTTCCTTCTTCCTTAATAAATAAGAAATATAAACAGCAAAGAGCAGTTACCCATGTAGAAACCAAAGAGACTGTTATTGAGATGATATGCTTTTTAAATTTTACTGAAACTGTTTTAAGTATTCTCAAAATGTACGACACTTTCCAAGATATTAATTGCTAATATAATGTCTCTATTTTACTAAAACTAGTTGCCATAGTTTATAAATGTTTTATCAAAAATAATAATTTCTGACTTCCAAAACTATTTCAATCCATTAAATTAACTAAGTCATTTAGATCAACATTAGTGTAAAAATATCACTTAAGCCTTTGGTTTGATTTTCAAAGTCAAAATTTAACTCTCAGGAGATAAATGAAAGTATACATGCAGAGCAAAATTAAAATCTCCTAGCACTAGATGAATTAAAGGCTTCAACAATAATAGAAATTAAAAAATGAACAATAAAAGTGGCGTTTGTCCATATACAAAGGCTACTATAGAAGGCATTTGGCTCTTTTTCTGGTAAAAACAGCAAGAGGGAAAAAAAAAGCCACAGGTATTTATATCACTGGGAGCCCACTTAACCAGTGGTCATCGTGTTACCCTGTTTTAAAATTGGAAAATTAACCCACACCCTCATTTTATAGTGAATGTTATCTTACAATAAAATTTCATGTGTATTGAAAATACTGACAGGGACACTTTACATTTAAGGAATTATACAGTTGTGAGAATATCTTAGGTCTTTAATAGCACAAATATTTTCAATGTTTATTTTTGCCCCTCTGGTCATAATTTCTATTCATTTCTGAGTTTGCAAAAATATACATTACAGTTAATCACCAGAGTTCACTTCTCTGGGGATTTAAAAGTTCTCAAAGTATACAAGAATTCAGGAGGGGAATAAATCCTTAAGTATATAGTCCAACTACAAATAGTATGCTAGTTTAGAATACTTTTCTGTTAACACTTCCTAAAGAGCTAAACATTGCATTAGTAAAATACAAAAACATTAACAGATAGTCACAGTTTTTTTTTTAATAAGCATCTTTGCAAGAACAGAAGAGAAAGAACTGAAACAATGCATTCAATCATTTTACAAAATATTTAACTTCTGTTTTCAAGCAATATTTGTTTAAAATGTTGCATAAAGGTTACTAAAAGTTTAGCACGATTTTTTTTTTTCTTTTCTTTTTCTCAACAAATAATTCCTTTTGCTCTCAATTTGACCAAAGTTTTATTAGTCTGTAGCAGAGTTCAGGACAATTATTGAAAACCATACCTTTTAATCCGGGGATTTGCCACAGGAGCACTCAAAGCTGAGATGTAATTATACTAAATATTCAGCCCAAGCAAAAGAGTTTGCAGGTGTGGAAAGGAGGAGGGGGTAGGTGCTGCTCTGTGACTGTCACTAGGTTGAAAATCTCCTGCTTCTACTCCATAGCACGGTTAAAAAATAAGGTTTCCCTCAATGAACACAATCCGGCTGACACCCACATTAGATCATATGGTAATGATATGTCTCTTGTATTGAAGCCAGAAACTTTATCGGCCTTTTTTTCTCCCCATTTGCTTTATTCCTTTTGCATCTGCTTAAGATTCTAAACTGCTTATGTAGTACAGTGGAGCAACTTGAGTCGAAATTTGTCTTATTGCCGATTCATTTCCCTAAAATATTGTAACTAAAGGGTTTGTCTCCCCACCCCCAACACCATTCCAATATTCACCCTTTCTAGCCTTGTTTATAGGTAACATTTATTACACTTCTGAAATGACAATCTTTCTTGCTTTCTGGGTGTGTATCTCCAGAAAAAATGAAATTAATTTTGTAGTTGTTTTATATGTGGTCTACAAAAATAAATAAATAGCCTTATTTTTAAATACTCATTCGGATTCTTACTTGCCTTGGAATGTTTGTGCAAATTCAAGCACGATGCTATGGAGTTTTTCTATAGTGTCCTGGAAGAAAGCCATGCTTTTATATGAAAAGTAAGTCATTTGTTACTTTCGTTACTTATGGTTTAAAATATTTCTTGTTATCCATCAGTTTTTTAATAAAACACATAGAAACTGGAAGTTGGTCACAATATTGTTTAGTCTGTATATAAACAATTTGATATTCACAGACTATAATTTTATGGAATCCAGAGCTTTGAAAAAGTAATAGATTCTACAGCTCTTTCCAAATTTCGTTAAATGGAAAAAAGAAAGTGCAAATACAAGAAAACATGTTTGTTTAGCCACTGGAAAGGGTTTTTGCGTTTTGTAATTCCCTTGCTGGATGCTGTTAGTTGTCTCTGTGTCAGTCTCTATGTTTTGACTTGTATCTTTATGCTCTGGCCCCTAGGCTGTTACCAGGTGGAAACTTGAAATCAACATCTGTGAAACATGAGAGGATCCCCTTCCCATCCTCCTCCTTCCTTCCTTTCCTCCTCTAAACACTTGAGTGGGTACCTTGGGTGGTGTTCTTGAGGGGGAGGGATATTACCACATTATAGTTTGCTTTATTTCCCAAGTTCAGCCTCCCAGGTTAACTCTTTATCCCACTTACCCTCTCCTTGACATTTAATGACCACATACCTAGTTTATTCTGATGGTTTAGAAAAAGGCAAGCAATGTTCCTGGGATATTGGTAAAAAGTCCAGGATCCCTTTACCTGGAATTAATTAATTTTCTCCTCTTAACTCTCCTTGCAAGGCATTTATCTCTTTTTGATGACATATAATAACTTCTTCCTCATATTATAATTATTTATTTGCATGACTTACTTCTGGGGAGTAAACATGTTCTGTTCATATTTGTAGAGTCCTTGCGCCCAGAATAGTTTATGATATATAGTAAATTCTCAGGAAGCACTTGATAAATTACTAAAGACATTCAAATCATTGGCTATGGACCAAAGCATGATTAATGTTTGCCCATCTCTGACTTACTCTTTATCAAAACCCAACCCTACTAAAGTGTATGTGACAATTAATGGCAATAATTTTTCAGAGATGGGGAGAGAGAGAGAGACAAGACAGGTAGGGAGTATTAAAGAAAAAGTAGAAAAAGGAGGAGGAGAAGAAGAAGACATAATACCCTGGTATGTAGATCATTTTACTTTTATAAAAGTAGACCATTTTAGGTTCAGATCTTTGGGTCTTTCCTCTGAGAGAATGCTGTGTGAATTTAGGCAACCTACTTAACCTCTCTGAGTCTCAGTTTCTGGGCTTTATTTTAAAAAAGCTCCCTATAAATATTAGCTTTTATTATTTTCTGATGTATTTTGCAAAAATCAAAACCCAATGACCTTCTCAAGTTCACAGAGCTGATAAGAAACAGAGCAGAAATTAATACCTAGTTCTTCTCAAATCTAATCCAGTTTTCATAGCTATACTACATCTTAAGATAAAGAAAACCCTTAATATATAGAAAATTAATTACAGAAATTTGGGGATAACATGTCTTTGCAGACTAGTATAAATACTGTGACCAAGTTAAAATTCCTTTTAAATTTTATTTATATTCGTGTAGGGACAAATTCACTATTTTTTAAAATTTTAATAAGAACCTCATCTCCGAAAGCCCAAGCACTTCACCAAACATTGCGTTATATAAAATCCGGATCTTTAATCACACGTTAAATTACATATTTTGTCACACCTATTTTTAGATAGAAGAAACTAAGTCACAACAAAGTCATATGATGCAGTTAAGTCACAAAGAGGTCACGGCACTGTCACCATAATCCAGGTCTCCTGCAGTCTAACATAAAGTAGAACAATTTTATGGCTAGAAACAGCACTTGTGCAAAGATTGCTTAAACTCATCCTGGCTTGGAATGTTTGGGGGTAGGATTCCCTGAAACTCTGGCTGTCAAATAGATATTTGAAATATTCCGATTCAGAGCACATACCACATCTGCCGTTAAAACCACTTAAACTGTGATTTCTACTGACAACCCACTAGCTAACAGGGTAACTGTGTTCTGAATGTTGTCAAAGTTCATTTCAGGGCCAGTCACTCTTTCTCATCAACATCACATACAAAAGTTTTAAATTGTACCTGCACATTAAGGATGTGAAGAATGCCAGAGCTTAGAAAGGTCTCCTTCTGACACCCTTTTATTTTCTAAGAGGTCTGGAAGCAAATGATTATCTTCACTAACCCAATGTGACTGGTTTATTCATAGACTGACTCTTCAAAGTTGGATCAGGAGCTGACATGAACTGTCTGGCTCTATACTTTGCCACTCTAGACAGAGTTCTTCCTTAGCCAAGAAATAAGGCTAGGGTGGAATTGAGGACAGCCTTGAATATAGGATAGCTCGATGCAAAATTTGGTATAGAAAATGTTTACTTTGGCTGTCTTCCATGCCTCTACCCACCCGACCCTCACCACTGTGTTGTGTGTCCTTGTACTTTGCACAATTTAGCCTCTCTGTTCTTCAAATTTTTAACCTATAAATGTAGTTAATCATTGTACTATCTCTTTCATGGTTTGTGTGAGGTTTAAAGAAGGTTAATACATAAAGCATTTAGAACTGTGCCTGACACATCTCAAACAACGCATAAGCGTCTGTTATTGCTTCTGCTGCTGCTACTCTTGTGCTTTTTTGCTGTTAAAAATTTTACCTTGGACACGTCAGTACAATAACCAGACTGCATCCCTTTTACAGCCCAACAGATTTTCTGCCTAACACCCCAAGAAATCAACTAAACTATGAAATAGTTGCAAGAAAAAGGACTTTGGAGTTGGATAAGCTTGAGTTTAAGGTTCCATTTTGTATCGTTAAATAACTGCTTTGGTTTCTTTATGCATAACATTTTATTGGGTTCCAAGTCCTGCTGAAATCCATTCGTGGGCTTTATTAGAAAACAGAGACTCCAGGTTAAGAATCACTACTCTGAGCAATAAACTAAAAGTGTGAATAGAGACAGGGACAGGACAAGTAATGAATTCAGGTAGGGAAAACGTATAGAGATAAGCACCTCTCTCTCACTGCAAGGAGGTATTTAATTCTTTAATTCTCTGACTCTTTCTCTTGAATGCTCTGGAGCATCTCTTTTGTCAGTTGTAATCAGGAGATTAATTATTCTTTCCATAATACTAATCAATCAGTTTGTACTTGGACAGTAGACCAACGTCTATTGAATATCTATTAGCCTGTGCAAGGCCCACACCTCTCTGTTAAATACAAGGAAATTTCCAGTATCCTATTAGTCCATAAATCAGCACACACTGGCTAAAGAACTACTATGGGAGAAAGTGTTAATACCAGGCCCTGTGGAAGATACCAAGAAACACAAAGTACAATGTGAAGGGCATGACTTCAAGGGATATACAATACATTCATAAACTAATGTGTTAGTATTAGCATACCAGAAAACTTACAATGCATAATTCCTAGCCAGAGTAAAGTATGATGTAATTAAAAATATTAAATAATTGTCTGAGCAAGTCAGAGGAGGGATGAGGGAGAGATCACTTTACACTTGAGTGGTTAGGTAAGTGTTTATGGAGAACAAGGTACAATTTGAGCTGAATCCTGGGGGATAAAAAGAATGTGCATGGAGTGAAAGGAGAGAAATAGCTTTATAGGCTGGCAAAATGGCATTAACAAAACTTTTGGCAATGGGAAAGCAGGAGACAATAAATAAATCAATGTGGCTTAAGTGGATGCTTTTTTTCAAAGAACTCCTGAGCTCCTTTATCATCCTTGAATATTCAACAGCTGCCATGGTGCCTGATGTGTCAAAGCCACACAATAAATGAATGTTCCATGTTTATGCAAATAGCTAAAGAGAGATAAAAGAAATAAATGAAGGTAGAGTCTAACTGTGGAAGGACTTGAAGGTCTCCCACGGGGCACTTATCCATTTATTCATTCATTTTTTCAGCATATGTCCTTTTGGTGATTAATATGTGCCAATTACTGTGCTTGAAACTGGATGTTATCAGAGGTAACTGAATGAGGAAATAACATGATAAAAGTTTTATTTTAGCAAATAAAAACTAGCAAGTCTATGGAGGGTGGTAAGACTAGAGTCAAGGAAACTAGTTAGGAGTTTCTTCCTTTAGTCTCAGTGTATTAACACCTTGGAAAGGAGGTGATGAGCATGCAGAAATAGAGCCGTTGCTTAGAAAGCTGTGATAAATTAAATATTTGGAGCCCACATTCTGTACCAGGCACTATGGTATGGGCGCGGTGGCTCACGCCTGTAATCTTAGCTCTCTGGGAGGCCGAGGCGGGCGGATTGTTTGAGCTCAGGAGTTCGAAACCAGCCTGAGCAAGAGCGAGACCCCGTCTCTACTATAGAAAGAAAGAAATTAGCCAAACAACTATATATAGAAAAAATTAGCCGGGCATGGTGGCGCGTGCCTGTAGTCCCAGCTACTCGGGAGGCTGAGGCAGGAGGATCCCTTGAGCCCAAGAGTGTGAGGTTGCTGTGAGCTAGGCTGATGCCACGGCACTCACTCTAGCCTGGGCAACACAGTGAGACTCTGTCTCAAAAAAAAAAAAAAAAAGTATCATCTCAGTTAAGGCTCATGATAAACCTGTGAGTTAGGCACTATCATAATAAATTTTTATAATCAATTTTAAAGGCACAGAGCTAATGAATGATAAAGC